AGCTCGGCGAGGTTGACGAGATGCTCGTGGATGCTCTTGTCGTTCGCCGTGAAGAGGAAGACGTAGCAGGCCGCGATGGCGCCGATTAGCTGCAGCTCCTTCGCCTTGACACCTAGGAGAGCGGGCACACCGAGGCCCGCCCCGCTCAGCGTCTCGGCCGTCACGTCGCTCAGCTTGGCTAGCGCCTGGAAGAGCATCACCATCGCCTCGACGTTCTGCTCGTCGTCGGGCTCGAGCATCTCCTTGATCTGCTTCTCGGTGTAGCCGAGGGCGGCGAAGATGCGGCGCCAGTCGGCGGCGTAGAAGGTGTGCGAAACGATCTGGACGCCCCGGTCCACCGCCTTCAGAGCGCGCTTGAAGCCCTTGCCATCGTGCTTGTAGTCCGTGTCGTCGGTGATGCAGTGCGGGCCGGAGAGCAAGTCGAAGAGGGGGCACTGCGCGAGGGTGTCGCGCACCTTGCCCTCTGGCATCCGGAGCCGCTGGTACCGCTGCACAGCACACTAGGGAATGGGGGGAGGGGCTGGGGTGAGAACAGTCGAGCGAGATTGGACCGAGATTAGGCGAGATTGCGCGAGATTGCGCGAGATTGGGCGAGCTCACCTGGCGAAAGATGCCAGCGCCGTCGCTCACCGAGTTGGAGATGGGGCCGCGCATCGCGTAGCCGCGCGGGTCCTCATACCAGACCTTCTCGATGAGCGCGATGACGCTGTGGTGGTGCTTCCAGTTGGTGTCCTTGCAGCACGAGCCCTGCGCCGCCACCGGCCGGCAGTGGTACTCCGTCTTGGAGTTGGGCGCAAGGGCCGCCACGAGCGCCTCCTTGGCGAGGTGGACTGTGCCAGCCTCGAACTGCGCCTTGAGGTTGATCGCGTCCGCCGCACTGTTGAAGAAGAGTGGTGCGCCGCCGCCGGGAGTGTGCTCGCGGCAGAAGCCGTAGATGCAGTTGCGCTGCTGGGCGAAGCGGGGGCGCCCGTCGACTGCGACGTTGTCCGCCATTAGCGTCCACAGCGTGCGACCCGACGCCGGCTTGGAGAAGATGAAGTGCTCCATGTTGCCCCTCACGATGGCCTCCTCGATCGCGGCGGGGCAGATGAGGAAGCGGTGCAGCGGCCGGCCGCACTGGTAGACAAAGGAGCGCGACGCGTGCCCGCTCGACTTGGACAGCGAGTAGAGGAGCCGGCCGCCGCTGAGGCGGAGGGCGAGCAGCGAGCGGTCGCAGTCCTCCTGGTCGTAGCCGCGCGGCGCGTACTCGCCGTTCACGTACTTGGTCACGAGCTTTTCGATCATCTCGGAGGTGGCGCCGCGCTTGAGCGCCTGCGAGAAGAGCTGGTGCACGCGTGGCAGCTTGTTGGCCGTGAGGAGCTTGAAGACGCGCTTGGTGCAGTCGCGGTTCTTGACGGCGCGGTCGACGGCGCGGCCCGCAGTGTGGCCCGACAGGTGCTCCGCGTGCCGCCGCCCCTTCTGCGTGTCTCGCCGCTCACACATCTGGACGTGAGACAGGTACGCGTCGTGAGCAGTCGTGGCGCTGAACCCGGGATCCACAGCCTTGCGCTCGAGCTCGTGCAGCCTGACCAGGGAGCCGAGCTTGCTGCACGCGGTGCACGGCATCGCCTCCTTCTCGCCCAGCTCGATGGTGACCAGCTGATCGCAGCCCGGCTCGGCAGGCCCTAGCCGCCGCGCGCGCACGACGCCGTCCTCGTCTGGCATGGTCCACGGCGGCTTCTCCGTGAGGTGGCGGGCGTAGGGGTAGTGCGTCGCAACGGGGTTGCCGCCGAGATTCAGCGTGTAGCCGGGGCACCGGTGCAGCAACTGCGCGTGTGCTTTGACCGCCTCCATCGCGAGCACCGCCGCCTCCTCGCCACCCACCCCCCATGGCACCTCCAGCTCCATGGCGGAGAAGTGACGGTCGACCGCCGCCTCGAAGCTGTCGCCCTGCTCGAGGCGCAGCTTGGCGCGGGCCGCGGCGTCCTCCTCGGCGAGTGACTGCGCCGGCGCCGGCGCCGCTGCCGCCGGTGCGTCCGCTGCGGTGGGAGCCTTGGCTGCGCGCGCGGGCGCGCCGCCGTCGGCACCCTCACTCGCGCTGCCGCTCTCGCCGCTCGCCGCCGGCGATGGCGCCGGTGCTGGCGGCGGACCGGACTCTTTCTTGTAGAAGAAGTCGAGCTTACCGCGCTTGGCCCCCGGCTCTCCAGGCGGCGGTGGCGGTGGTGCCTCGGCGTCATCTGCCGCCGCCGCTGCCGCTGCCGCCGACGCCTGCCTCCGAGCCGCCTCCGCCGCCGCCCCCTCAGCCCGCCTGGCGGCGTTCTCCCGCGCCGTGCGGCATGCGCGGCAGTGGAGCAGAAGGGCACGGTCGTGCCTGGCGGACGTACTGGTAAACCCTTCCGCTTTGGTGCAGCCGACAACGTCGTGGAACGGCACGTCGCCCCTCATGACAAAGGGCTCGCGGATCCCGTCGTCGTCGATCTCGAATCGCGTGCCGTCGGGGCGGAGCGAGACTTTCCGTTTCTTGCTGTTCGGTAGCGTCCCGACTATGGCGCCGACGGGCACTGCCACGGCAAAAGGAAGAGAAGATGAGCCCGCCGCAGCGGTGGGCGGCGCCTGCGCGATGCCAGCAGCGGGCGCCGGAGGGGCGCCGCCTGCCCCGACGCCCTGCACGGCCGCAGCCAATGCGGCGGAGTCGTCAGCGACGGTGGCCGACCCCGCCGGTGCGTCGGCCATGCTAGCCTGTGTCCCCCCGAGCCCAGCCTTGGGTGCTCGGCCTGTACTAGCAAGCGGACGGCTTTCTTTTTAGTTTCCCATAAGTAAGGTAGGTAGGTAGGTAGGTAGGTAGGGGCACCGCAGGGGCCGGTCAGGTTTTTCCAGAATTTCATCATGAGGGCCGCCCAAGCAAAAATAATATACACCTGCTTTCTCGCTCCTTGGCAAGGACAGAATTGACGTTGGCCTGTTCCGGCAACCCAGAGCGAGGGAAACAAACCAGAGGACCAGAAATTTCTTTGCGTTTCCGGAAATGTGAGAACAACATGTTTTTCTCTCCCACTCTCTCTCCTTCCAACGGACAAACAAACAACCCCAAATGACGTGTGAGTGTTGTTTGTTGTTGTGTTCCGTTCCTGTCAAACAAAACATCAAAAAACAAACGCGCAAGGTCGCGCGCGGCAGCGACGACCGCACGGCCTACTCGCCCAAGTTCAAGTACTCGCTCTCTTTATGTCCCACCATGCAAAGAGCATCTCTCTCTCTAGGTTGTGCGAGGCGTGAACCGCGCCATTCGCTCTCACCTGGCAACCCTGTCTGCACGTCTCGCGCGCGCGTGAACAGGGCCCGAAGGATCCCGTTCGCCGTGAAGAGCCGAGGAGTTCGCCCTGCTTCACGTCTCAATCAACCTTCCCCGTGGAGCGGAACTTCTTTTTCTCCCTGGCATCGCTGTCACGGTCACTGCTGCTGCTGCTGCTTGCCGGCTTCCTCGCCGGCTTCCTCGCCGGCTTCTTGCCCTCCTTCTTCTTCTTTGCCGCCTTGCGCCCACTGTCACTGCCATCGCTGCTGGCGGCCAGCTCCTTTGCTGCCTTCGCCTTGGACTTTGCCTTCTCCGCCTCCGCCTCTGCCTTCGCCGCCTCTGCCTCCGCCTTTGCTGCCGCCGCTTGTGCCGCCCTCGCCTTCGCCGCCGACCTCGCTGCCTCCGCCTCCGCCGCCGTCTTCGGCTTCTTCTCCCTCTACTCTTCCTCTTCCTCGCTGCCATCGCTTCTGCCTGAGTTCTCTCCACATTCACTCCACGCGTCCTCGTCCTCACTGTCGGAGAGCCCTTCACTATCCGACCATCGTGACGCTACACGGACTCCGAGCCTGTGGGGAGACGGCGCTGCGCCGCAGCTAGACCCCGAGGTCGTGCCAGGAGCAGACCGTCGCGATTCCAGCGCGGCCGCCCGGGCAGCAGCACTGCCCGCGAAAGCCATCGCCCCACCAACAAGAACAGCCGCGCCGGCGCCAAGAAGGTCGCGCGGTGCTGACTGCCGCGATTCAGAGTGTGTCTGAGATCCGCCGACCAGGCGGGGCCGGCCGACAAGGTCTGACAGCGTGCACATATCCTTTGGTGCGAGTGCGACATCCGCCGCACACTCACAAGAGCAACAGACCGAGTCGCGTCAGCATAACAAACAGGTCGGCTGCGCGTGATCATCCGCCGGCCGAATTTGGCCGAATTTGTTACGTTTCAGCGCGCTTTCTCTTTTCCCAAGCTAGAAATGTTGCGCGCGAGTGCCTGGGGTTGTCGATGCAGTAAATATTGGCGGTTCAGCCGGTCAGCACGACGAGCAGTTTGGAGCAGAGAAGAATCCTCAAAGTACACGAGAAATCCTCAAGGTCCCGTATCCGGCCTTAAGGGCCCTAAATCTTTTGGTTGTAGATCACCTTAAAAAACTAGTATGTCTTGGAGTGAAAAGTTTTTCGATGAGGTGGGGATCCGTGGTGAGCCGATTCCCAGATTCGAGATTCTCCAGATTCCCCCTCGAAAACCGCCCCTGTTAATTCATTGCGGCCGCGGGTTTGCTCGGATTACTTTTCACTCGAAGACATACTAGTTTTTAGAGAGAGAGAGATTTTTAGCAATACCAAACAACTATTTTGTTCTAGTTTTTTTTCTTGCGTTCCGGTGCCTACAAAAATATCCGACCGTGGAGCTGAACACAGGGTTTGCGGCGGTCACTGTCCACCAGCGGTCACAGTGGGCCGCGGACACCCGTGAATGACCTTAAACTTTTAGGCCCTCCAAATTCGGTCGGGTCGGAGCGTAGGCCGTAGCCTAGCCCGTAGGTAGCGGAGTGGGCCCCGAGTTTGAAAAGGGCGACAGACGCTCTTGCGTCCTAGCCTCCAACAACGCCTCCCCGGCGCAGAGGGGCCCCCGGAGGGATGCTCAACCGCTCCACGCCACGCCGCTTGCGGCGGTCCTATTCCCAGCTCTCCTCAGGCGCGTTATTTTGGGGAGTGGTGAGATAGACGGCTCGGTCGGGCAGAGCGCGCGCCACGCGCTCGGGTCGAGAGCGAGGAGACGCCGCGCGTCCTGCCGCGCCACTCTCCACATGCCTCGACAATGGCGCCTACTGCTGCTTCTGCTCGCCGTGCCGAGTCGGTGCGCGCTGCCGCCGCAGGACGACTCGCCCGATCAGACGCTCTGCAGAGCCGCGCCGGAGCCGGTGGCGGAGCCTCCCTCGCGTCCGCTCCCGCCCCTTGGCGTCGAGCTGCGGCGGCGGCTGCGCTGGTTCCTCACCCACTATCGCCTCACCGCCTTCACCTCTGAGCTGGGCGAGTCGCTGCGCCCGGTCGTGGCGTCGGCATGGGTGAGCGCCTCGTATCTCGTCTCGTGGCTCTACGTGACGCTGGACGTCGTCATCCACGGCTTCGAGGTGCACGATCTCACGCCGTCGGCCCGCGCCGTTCGGCGCGCCGTGCTGCACGCCTCCACCTTCCAGGCGGTGGCGACGATGCTGCTGCCTGCCGCGTTCATCCACTCGGTCGTGCACGCGGCGCAGCACGTGCTCCTCCACGCGAGGCTCGGCTACGCGTCCCCGCCCCACCTCCTCGGCTGGCGGCGCTGGGTGCCGACCGGCTGCGGCATCGCGTGCATACCTCTGGTGCCGGTCCTGTTCGATCACCCCGTTGAGGCGATCGTCGACCGCGCCTTCGGAGGGCCCAGAGGGGCGCCGGCGGCCGAGCCGGCGCCCGCAGGGGCGGCGGCGGGAGGGCCGGCGGCGGGAGGGGCGCCCGAGCAGAGCTCTCCAGCTCCCGGCTAGGCCTGGCTGTTGAACCTGCTGCGAGTCTCTCTGATTCCTTCGCGCCCTCGTATGCGCTGTGGGCGTGTGTGTGTGTGTGTGTGTGTTTAGGCCCCCTCTGCGGTGTGTGGCGCGGAAGGAGTCGGCTGGGAGCGTGTGCGCGGGGCGAGTGTGCGCTTGGGGCCTGGCGCCGGCGGGGCGCGGCAGCGCCTGCCGGGCAGGGCAGCCGGTGCGGTTGCAGCCCGGACTGACTGGCAGTCGGGAGGAGTCAACCGCTTGGCCTTGGGCCGGCGGCGCAACGGAAGTGGCCAGTGCACACCGCACCAGGGCGGCGCTATTGCGGTGGTACTGGTAGTGCCCGTTCTCCCAGCCCTTGTACGTGGTTAGATATGTATGTAGAGAAACGGGAGAGCCCTTGGGGGGGCAAAAAATCTCGTCACACATAGGAATTTAGGGACAGGGTGAAGACTGAAATGTACGGCCAATCACCATGCGACGACCGTATACGCATGTGACCGGCGGTGCGGCGCGTGTCGGGACACTGCACACGCCGACCGCTGCCAGTACGGGAACGGCTCTACACAGCGGTCAGCGCCAATCTCCTCGAAGCGCGGAGTCCGGAGAGGGAGCCGTGTCCGGCGTCTACTCCTCGCAACACGAGACCCGCCGGCGTGTTGACCGTACACACCGCAAGTTGCCGCAAAATCGCATGGGTCACAGCCCCACGTCGTCCCAGCACAGCGGCGCCGCCGTGCAAATACTGCACATGCGTGCATCACTCGACCGCCATTCCCTCACGCTCCTGCAAGCCGTTGTCTATGGACCCGCGGCCGGCACCAGCGTTCGCCTCGGCATGATCGTATATCTTCTCCGTTGTCAATGTTTTTGTTCGTCGCCTGAGAGCACGCCGGGAGATCAGCGACGAAGGCGGTTAGGGCCTGCGTCGAGACTCTGTTTCGGCGCGCCTGTGCTTCGGCGTCCTCTGGTGGTCTGCCAGCGCCTGGGCGGAGATGCAGTACTTGCTGCGGCGGCGGGGCGCGGAGCACGTGGTGAGCACCCTGCTGCCACCGCTGGCTCGCGGGAACGGGAAACGGCCAGGCGGCGGCCGCGCGTGGCGCGAGGGCGGGGCGGGTCCGGCGTGCCTGCAAGCTATGCAAAAGTACTGCCCCAGTCCTGGCAGGTCTGGGTCGGGCACGGTTTTTTCGGCGAGCACCTTCTCCGCCACACCGGGCGCCAGCTGTCGCGCGCAGATGTCGTCCCACCGCCCCTTGTTGACGGTGTGCTTGAGGCCGGACTGGCGGTGGTCCTTGTTTGCGTGGCGCCGGCCGCCGCCGCCAACCTTGCGGCCGCCCCTCCCGCCCTTCTTGCCCATCCGGGTGTGCGAGGCTGCGCGGCTGCCGGGGTGGAAGGCGACTCGAGCGTGCAGGCGAACAAGAGTGCGCGAAGAAGGCGCGTCGACGAGCGAGCAGAAGGCCAGAAAAGAAAAAAATCCCGCGAAAAGCGGTGGAGCCGGGAGAAGCTGGCGAAGACGAAGGGCGGCAGCGGAGAAAGCGACACCAACAACGAGGGAAACGACCATACCGGTCGTCGCATAACGCTCGGGAGACGAGCAAGAGAGCGAATCAAGGAAGGTCGGGACCCTGGGAAGACGAGGGGTGAGCCCTCAGCGGGTCTACTCGAGTGTCTGCGCAAGTGAGTGTAGAGCGGTGGTGTGGGGCGTGCAGTGTGGTGTTCATTAGCTCCGAGTAGAGGGGGCGTCCTGCAGTTAAGGGGAAACCCGGTACGCGGGGCTAACCCTCGGAGACCCGTGTTTACTTTACGGCGCCCTTGCCCTGCGAACGCGCACCCCCAGGGCTAGGGCTCTCTTGCCCGCAACCCGATGCCAATCATCCGGCCCGCTGGGTGCGCTTCTTAGCTCCCCGGCCCTGGATGTGCGGTTAATGACTGCACTCCAAGTGCTCCAAGTGCGCAAAGCACTTCCGACAGCACCCCCACACGCACGGCGGAGCCCGAACCCAGGCCCGGAAGTATGGATTCGGTAGTTTTGACCGCGCAAGATAAAGGGTGGCTAAGCCTAAGGGCTCTGCCCGCAAGGCGCCCGCGTCTCAGACGCGCGGCGTCCGATCGGGGATCTAGTCGAGGCTGTTCGGACAAGGGGAGCAGCGGAGGGGTGGCCTGCGGCTCCGGCTGCGCGCCGCCGGCAAAGGCAGTGCCGCGTTCGAGGCGGCTCTCCATCCCCTGTCAATCCCGCCGCCTCCCCTGTCAATCCCCCGCACCACCGCCGCCACCG